TTGCCACACTAAACCTGCATAAGAAAGAAATGTTGATAAACATCGAACATTAAATATGTAACTGTTGACGATCATAAAAGATAGAAGCCAGACATACTGTGCATGTACACAAATATCACTTCGTCGGAATCATAACTTTTATTAGTCCACGTAGGAAAGAAACGGACGATTTGCATGGCAGACCATTTGCTTTGCTTCTTCTCGACTCGACCGATTTCAACTCGAGATGAATTAATATACCGATGTATGGAATGAAGTAACAGGTGTGCTTTAGGGCAGTCTAATTGCGCCACTTTGTTTACAGTGCAAATTATTGACTTTTTTATCATGCTTTTGCTCTAAGACTACTGGCATATTGATGTGATTGAATGTGTAACATCCATTAAATAAAATTTTTTTTAGTGATAGGATGAAACGACCTACCTACCTAACCTATAACTATATATTTATAGGATGGTTTTAAATTATATTTTATAATTAAGATTACGTGATTGACCCCGTCCAAAGTGGTTTCATTCAACTCGCAATAAAGACATCCAATGTTGAGTATAAGGCGTAATTTGAAGCAATTACCAAATTCCAATAGCGATAGGCAAGTATTCGATATCGACGCAACGCACGCCACCCTGTCACGCCAGGGCCAAATTACTCCCACTTTTTGTTGTTAAAATTAGACTAATCAGCACTGAGTACAAAGAATCTGATCGCTTTCATCATCGACACGATGATGTTTACGCCGCATCTTCCGAGAAACCGGAGCCCAACATTCAATACTTGGAAATAAATATGTGAGTTTGACATTTGCTTTCATGTACGCTCGTTTCGTGCGTAATTATGAAGATCATCGGAGGTCGTGATCCTTATTGTGGTCGCGGTAGGGTCTCTTTTGGCGGCGCGCTGGCCTCGCTTTTTTATTATTAAATTATCGTTCGTGGCGATTTCCGAGATGATAGGTTGCGTATGATGGGGCGTCTGATTGCATCTCTTGTCGACATTTCGGATCCGTTGCTTTCTCTTTGATTGGCTGCGATTAGATGTGCGTTTGTCTTGTTTGACGTTCAGAGGTTAAAGGCAGTCTGATATTCCGATATCTTGTCTAAATACGAGGATTTATAATAGGAGGAGGAGTACAGGAAAATCCTTTTTTTTTTTAATTAGTTACTAAAATAATTACTTAAAATTTTGAAGTATTAAGTGAGATACATAGTAAGATGTTCATGTTATAAAATATATTTGATTTATTTTACTTCATCATTGTTTTTTTGTTTAAGATTATTCCTTTGCAGTGGCAGTGAAACTCATCAATAAAATAGATACGTAGTTAGCTTCTTCTGGTACATTGACACTTAGCATCTTGTTAGTATCATAAATCGTACGAGCTTGAAATTTTCATATCTTGTAATATAAATTTAATTTCAAGATTACTAAGGTTTGAACATGTGTAACGAATATCCCATACGAGTTTGATGACCATTAGTCATGCGTATTCAAAGATTCAGTGCCGATGCGGCAACGACTTTACGACACCCGCCGACTAATAAGAGGACGATCTAAAAATAACAAAATTAAAATAAATCGAACGACAGACAGTCGTCATAAACTAATTTCGAGTGTTTTCCTTTTGGTGTGCGTAAAAATAGCATCATTACTCTTTCATGTCCGCGCTGAAGTGACATTAAGTATTTACAGTTATATAGAACAGCGCCATCTATGCGTGAAAGATGAAAGATAAGTTTATTGCATAAAAGAAAGATTCATGTGATTTATGGATCAATTAAGTCCTTCGAATTCAATATCTTCCATTCATATTATTGGAGCTCCTGAAAAATTGTGAAGGAGAAATCGCTCGAATCGCTCGTCTTTTTGTCTGATATAATCCAATTAGTACTTAAAATATTGGCTATAATCATTGCAACAAATCAAAAACTTTCTTCAATTTGATATCAGAATAAATTACTTTGAAAGTAAAGAAAATTATATTTCGATCAAAACCAATTCGGAGCAGTTTAATCAAAAAAGTTGAAAAACCAAATCATTTATCGGTTGTCGTCAAAAAGAAACATTCAACCCTTCTTTACGAACTTAATTAAATACGAATTTGAGAAGAAATAACTCGGCAAAAAGTTAACGAAAAAGTTCCAAAGACTTTCTATTCATAAAAAATGTAAACCGTTACCATTGACGGAGTGTCGAACACATCAATAAATTCATTTTACAACAATTACATTTCAATATAATCTTTGTCTTTTTGAGGTATTCCTCTCGTGTTCTTCTCACATACATTCAACTCAGTTCATGTTTTGTGTCTCCTATCTTTATTGTAAGGTTCACCTATATACGTTTGCTATAGGGCTACCTATTGAAGACAGAATTAATGAACGTAAAAAGTTTAATTTAACCAAAGCACGTTTACCCCGTAAAGAAGTCAATATTAATTCTCCACGTTGAAAGTACCTTTAAAAATATTAATTCAATACAAAGCACAAACATATTACCTACGCTTCAAACAGACAACTGTAAAGATTCATCCGCTTTCAGGTAAAAGCCTCCAAAGCTCTATTGAGGGTTATAAAAAACCGATTCACTATTTGCACTGAATTTTGGTGATTCAATGGGTAATGACTGATGAATGCACGCAGAAGGTGTTCTGTCTGATGCAGGTTCTTTCATTGCATTTAGACTGAAATCCGATGGTTTTTTCATCCTACCCGCCCTTTGTGTTATTTATGCAGTTAACATTTTAGATACGTAATACTAATTATATTCAAACTACTTTACGTCCGAATGCAAAAGCGCAAATGTTATATTTCGATTATTTGAAAAGAGCTCTATTTTTTATATTATTTTTGATTCTATTGATGTTTTTTTGAAAGTATAATTACACTGTTTAAAAAGGGGTTATTTTTAGTCGTAAATTGTTAACGGGGTGCCTTTTATTATATTGGTTTTCGAGTGCTATCATTGAGGCATTTTTTGAAATCGAGTATATTCGAAATTTAAAGTTATTTTAGGTGGAACGGGGCAACTTCTAAATTCGTTGTAAACAGAAGTCTTAAATTTAATTTAAAACTTTTTTGTTTTTGAATACGCACTCTAAAGAACCTGTTTCACTTGTACGTCAGATAAATATGAGACTTGGTTAAGAATTCATTGAGAAATAAACATGCCAACTGTATAAACGGTGGTGGGCGGCAGAAGTCAGCACGGTCCCGCCAAATAGCTAAATTGATTTTAATGCCATATCATGCTAGTTCCGCTTGTTTATTACCGTCGATAATACTGATTGATTGCTTTGTAATATTAAGAAATAGATAAGTGGGTCTTTACTATTAGATTGGTAGGATTCCGTAGGAAGACTGAGAAATATTGTTGTAGATACAGCTGTATCTACTGCCTAAGAACTAAAAGTTGAGCCATTATGAATCTAGAAGGGTGTTGCTTCCACAGTGGTACTACATATATTTATCAATAAACTTTTAATAATGTCACTTGAAAAACCGGCGTTTCTATTACACGTTTAAAATATACTATTGCGACAAGGTAAAGATGCTTTATGATAATTAGGTTCGAATTTTGTTCTCTAAATACTAGTTTCAAATTAACAATGCTATGTATATCAGTAATTGCGTCCAGCAAAGGGGTTTTAAGTTATTATGATGTTTAGTATATATTATATGTGTTTATAATAAAGATATTTATAAATAAATAAAAATACAAATTAATAAATTAAATCAGTACATTAATAATTGATTCCTCCAAATATTTTAGATAATGAATCTTTAATAATATTACATTTTAACCACGCAATAATAAAAATGCTAAGTTATAAACTACTCACTTGAACAGAGTATGAACGCGTTTAACGAACAAAACAGTTGCTCCTTTAAAAATCATTAGGATCATGGATCCCTCATCCGAAAGCATGTTTTAATTAAGCACAACAGTCTTCTTGAGTGATACAGCTCATAAAGCGTAATATTTATTTAGTGCAAGGATTACTCTTCGGAGCCGATCAATCATTCCATTGAATGTATCCTGTTTCCCTTCGCTAGTGCGATCGGAAAGCGATTTGCTATCGATGCTTTTGTGTCGATATCGATAATAATGCAGGCAAGTGCAACTCTATATAGACAAAGTTTTGCCTAAAACTATACATTACAAACGAAAATAAATTAATATTTAAATAGATTAAAATAGTGCCCTGCAAACAGGTTTAGCCAAAAATAATAACTTTTTTACAGCCATATAACATCTACATGCGCTATTTTGGGTTTGGGTATTCGGAGATCCACTAACTGAAACCTTGGTTCGTAACCTGAACGAGATTTCGGTTTCCTATCACGGGTGATTAAAAAAAAAATGCAAATTGATTGAAAATCATGTTGGACCTGGTGAAGTTTATTTTGATTATTAGCCACGCATTACACACCAACGAGTCCGTCAATAACTCAGAGAGTTAAAGCCCCTGATAACGTCAAAGATGACGTAAATATCGCGACAGTCGCGCAACAAAATATTAATAAACGAAAATGAAATATCGATAAACACTGCACTAGATCTAGCCAACTGTCAAATCCAATTCAGCGATGCCCCCGCACATGTAATTGATTTATTGATCGTACGTTTAGATTCGATACGCGCGAGCGCAGGCAAGGTTACTGCATCCTCCGATGCTGCCCAGTTAACCGAGTGACCTCATACTCTCTACTCATGAGGGAATTTTGTAATGAGACATACATTGAAGAGAAGGGTCAAGAGTTAGATAAAGAGGGCATTACAATTATAGAATATTTTTATATTACGCCGTGAGTACATCCTTGTATTCATAGTAACTTCCAAAAATATTTTTTTGTCAATAGAGGAAGTGGTGATGATCATCGTTATAGCTTGATTCACTCGTAATTTGAGATATATGAAATTAATTGTAATATGTGAGTCTTCTAAGCGATCTATGAATTTCTAATTTGTGTTTTTGTTATGAAGTTAGAATCTAAGCATACCTCTTTTTCTTTAGCAGCTAATTCGTTCTCCAGATTGCTAGTCTGGTTAACAACGGGGCTGCTCCTCGAAGAGTTACTATTGCTCCTTGCGGTAGCCGCCATTTCTATTTTCTGCTCTATATCCTCATCAATATCTGGCGATCTTCGCTTCTCTTCTTTGATATCTGGGCTGAAATGCTCTGGTATCCTTGTTTCTGTGTCTCTAAGGGGTTCTATTGACCCATTGGTCTTTGGGACAGCGGCTTGAAGTGGCGTGGGGCTGGTGGTGGCTAGCTGTTCTTTAAGTGTAGTCACCTCTTTTTCCGCCAGGGTAGCTCGCTGTAACAAAAGAAAATCAAATCAAATACTTGAATAAAAAATATTACTTGCAAAAGACTCAAGAAAGGAAGAATTCTTTATTAATGGTTACAAAATCTCAACTTAGGTGTACACTAATTAAACCACTTTTAACGGGTTTAAATATCAACCAAATGTTTCAGATGCATTACCTGACGTTGCGTCACAATTAAAGATTTATTAGCAATATGTTTCGCGTATTAGACCGTTCAATTGTGTTTTATCAAATGCAGTGACTTTTAATATGGAGTGCGTCTGTTGAAACACTAGGGTTGATGAAACAGTTAGTGGATTAGGGCAGGAAGCATCGATTCGCATTTCCACGTGTTGTTTTTAATCTAATTAATCAGTTCCCATAGTTTTGTTCTTGTGGCCGGTGATGTAGAATCCTTTGTGCTTCTTCCGGTCGTATTCATTCAAAGGCTATCTCTCGATCTCATTAAACGGATGCACTGCTGATTATTGGCCACTACATAATTCCCAGCGGATTGTTTTACTCGTTTTGTCTGTCGATGGCTCAATTTTATTAAGCCGAAAACGACCTCACTTCTAGCTTAACAATTTTTAATATGAATCTATCATCAAATACATATACAGTTAGCATTGCGTACGTCACAACTGGTAACATTTCAGGAGAGGAATAATTACAAACAATTGAACTATTACTAAATATTTTGCATAAGTGATAGTGATATCTATAATATAATAACTAATAGAACATTGAATATTATAAACGTTCTCATTAGTTATAGATCCGTCATGTACACTATTCTTGTGCAAATAATTTTTGATGTTTCTCAATAGTCCTCTGAAGTTCAAAGCTTTGAAAGAGGTCATTCAACTCCCCATAAACGTGAGACATAGTTGTAAATAGAAAGAGATCTCATTTCGCATGCCTCCAGGTATCGATACGATCTCAGTGGAAGACTTCATTCGACTGTTAATAGTTAATCATTAAAGAAAGCAAATGATGAAAATAAATTGGTAACGCACGCGTGACTCGACACGCGTGGCGAGGCAGAGATACAATCAAGAGCTTATTAGCTGGGGAAAGGAAAGAATTTCGAACCCGAATATCGCTGGTAGACCTCGTATTCGCCCAAAATATTTACGACACGACAACACCTTGGCATATCAATTCGAGTTATGCGCTGTGAGCCAACCAATAGGATTTTCGGAAGAAAGCCCGTATTATTATTTTCTATAGTAGAACAGCGATGGCAGACCGGGTGATCAGTCCACTATTCTGCTAACTATTTCACCCATTTCTACATTTCTCCTTCACGAAGGACATTGGGTTATCCAACTCTCAATCGGTCCCCTAAATCCTTACGGATTCTTTGCAAATGAAGATAATATGTTAAACTCTGTGTATTGGAATCTAAGGTATGCGAAGTATTATTATAAACAAAATGAACTTTAGCATTTATTTAATGGTAGTCGCAGCAAAACGTTACATACAAACCAAAGCTTTTAAGTCTACTTTCTTGAATTAATAGCTAAATACGTAGTATAGTAGTAAGCGCCATGGTCCTAAATTCGATAACCGGGAAAATCTAAGTAATATGTACTAAGTTGGCCTTGGTTGGGTACAAAAAAACCTATGCTTATCTTAAGATACAAGCTAACGTGATTTTAAAAAGCATTAAACACATTTTGTGAGTCAGATGACAACTGAAGTGATCAATCAGCCAATTGGCCGGGACAAACTGTGCTATGTAATATTTAACATCACCCACGGTTTTCTGTTATTGATATGACAACACACCCGGTTATAGAACAATATCTATGTTTTTTTTTCAGGGTATGTGAAGTCCCGTAATATATGGATAACCAGTAGGGATAATAACAAATAAGCATATGTAGCGACTTAAAGGTTTATCATTTTTATTAAGAATCTCCCCCTGCTAAGTTACGAAGGAAGAACGTCCTCTACGATTATTTCCATGCAGCAATTTCGAATACATATTCAAAGTACTTATCATAATTACGCAAAAATTTATTCGGAATAATTTAATGTTTACAACTAGAAAGTTAGAAATTTCGCCGCTACGCAACCATTACCATCATTAAGACTCAAATGTTTGGCTGCTCAATTAAATAGAGAGAAAATCAACAACGATATAATTGTGTGAACCGAAAGATAATATGAATTCCGAATCATTAAAATAAAAGTCAAATATCAGTTATATTATGGCCAGCGTGACACGGTTCACTCAAAATTTAACGTGAGAAGACAATCACAATGACGAAAGTGACACATTGATTTATTTACGTTAAGGAAAACTGTCATATACAGAAAGATATATATTATACAACGCACTTTTAATCCCCCTAACAACGTACTATTAGTATCGAAAAATTTACTATTATTTTATTTTGTTGATGATAATTGTGGTTATTAAAATGTTTGTCATATTATTTTTCTACTAAGACTGTAGGCTCAATATTGGAATTGTTTTTCCGATGGCTATATTTCCAATAATGCAAACATAAGCAAAACAAATTAAACCAAACAATAACCACGCAGACAATACAATCTCTAATAGAATTTTGAATATTAATTTCTGCCCTTTCATTGATACTTGTCAATCGTTAATTGTTTGCAAGGAATTAATTTATTGGCCAGTTGATTTTGAAAATAGAGAAAGAAAGAAATAACAGTTAGTACATGTAAGTATAATTTATAGTAACTAAAGTTAGATAATAAAAAAGGTGAAAAACAAAACACAACCGTAGATTCGAAGCCTTTTCTTTTTACCGTTGGATAATACTAATTGCTACAGTCAAAGGTAGAATGAATTCTTATCAAATATGACTCACCGTTTGAAATCTTTAAGACCGTTACCAAAATATATAATCAGCTTAATGAGACCTAACAGGAAATCTAAACAAAAATTTTCGACGAACATCATAAGTAATAAAATATAAAACAGATTCAGTAATAAAAATGAAACAATGAACAGGCAAGCAGGCAAGTGGAACGGATCTAACAAAAACGGTTTTAATCAAAAATTATGATTTGAAAGTCAGTTAATGGACATTCAAAATTGACCATTACTGTACCGTCTTAAGTAGTAATTAAGCTTTAGTTCCGAAATTTAACAAAGCAACTTATCTATTGAAACCATCGCTTATAAAACTGTTTGAGCAATAGATCAGTCTGGCTACTGATCTCACGGGTAGGGCTGCCTATGTCCACAATTAAACTAAAGATTATATCATTTGCGATTACATGTTTATTTCAAAGGCATGTGTATAGTCTGTTTTTATTTATAAACTAAGTATTTCATAAGACACGTCACAAGACACTATAACTAACAAGTGCTCTACAGTGACGGAAAATATCGTGTGCAAACAGAGACACACATTTGAACACATATTATGAATAGCGTTCTAAAATGTTCTTGCTTAGTGTCCCGTAGAGGTAGTAAGGCGGATGACAAGAAGGGCAACATAAAATATATTGTTTTTTTTTTTAATTTTGACAACCCTATTATATTTTGGTTGCTATAGCGGTTCCTACACATTAAATTTCAATGAATTTGTAGTATTATTACAATGAATATTCATTTAGTTAGCCTTTCCAAAAATCACAATAAATTTTTATTTTATTTTTCTCATATTTGTGTAATTAATATTTGTGCATGCGATTCCATTAATTAATTTTAATTATTTATTAGATACTTACCTAATAAAATTTGGTTATAATTACAATTGCTTATATATACAGTTGCTTTGTCGTGATGTATTTATTATAATAAAAACTTTATTTGCATATAGTTCTAATAAGAGTTTTTTTTATATTATTAGAGTTAATACAAGTATTTTTAACTTGAGAATACAAGCCAGTTTTACAGATAATTAAAGAAGATTAAATTTTAATATTTCCTAATTAATAGGCATTTTTGTCACTTTATGTTTATTTTGATATCTCTTCTAATGAATCATTAACCAAAAATTTGGTAGGTACTTCTAGTCACGAAAAAGATATATTTTATATACAATACAAAGATATATCTTTATATCTTTTATACAAACTCAAAAATACATTCAATGTTAAGAGTACTTTATCAATAAATATATACGTAAAAATCAACTTTTACATTGCTAGAAGTGAGAAAAACACAGATACGAAATTTACTTTTATTTGTATCCTTCGCGTAGGTATCTAACCCTTCACCGTGAAGAAAAATTAACGTGCAGGGGTCAGAACCACCCGCATTATGCCGAGCGGTCACTAATTAATGGAAAAGGATTAAATTCGTATGGAATTGAAATAAAATAAATATGATAAGGGACGGGGTTCGACCCCGGGCTCTGTCAATACGTGAGACTTCGTTAATTAAGTTTTTCTTTGCGATGCTAATCTCTTTCGGAGATAAAGGCACACTTTGGGACAATGCATCTGGAAGATATAAGCCTCGTGAAGGGTTAAGGAAGTTCAAAGGGAAACAAACAGGGCACTATGTTGTGTGATTTGAAACCAATATACAAATATAGTTTAAAAATAGGATAATCTTAAAAAAATTGTAGCCCCATCTTATCTTAATACATGGGAGATATTTTTCTGTAACTAGAAAATGGTAGTGTTTTTGTGCCCTCCTGAACCGAAAAGAGTATCCTTCGATTGCCGGGAATGCAAAATCAGGACCAATATTGGAACTGTTCACTGAGGCGACCTGATTCTATTTTCAAATTTTTAAATGTACGTTCAACAGAATGAAATGAAACATGTTTCAAAATATTCTTATTTAATTAGACACGGTCTATTACCAAATATGTAATTTTGAAAGTATAAGCCGCCATCTTTGTGTAATTTGTTTTTAAAAGACGAAGATAGTAGCTTTAAAAGTCTTTAAAACTTAGAATACCTATACCGCGGTTAATAAGATATTTTAATTAATTAAATGTAAAATTTATTCAATTAATTATTACAATATTCGGTTTTAGCGTGATAATAATTATTTATTGCGAAACCG